GGCGAGATTACACCGGGTGGTTAACAAACAGCTTGAAAAGGCAGATCTAGATCATGCGCCTCTCGTGCGGCGTCGTGTGTACAAGGGTGGCGTCAAACAGCGATGGCGAGTTTAGCATCGCATAGTGGAGGTCCATGTCCTCGCGCAGGAAGAGCTCGTCGTGCACCATGGCGAATCCAGGCACGGCGAGGTCGCTGTCTCCAAACGGGGGCTCTGTCGAGAGCCGGCTGCCAAGACGCGTCTTGTCCCCCCGCGTGCCCCCGCTGCTGCCCCCCTCGGTGACGACGACCTTTTGGCTGTCGTAGGCAAGCTTGTCCAGCCAGCGCCGCTCGTACTCGCGCCGGCGGAAGATGGACATGAACACGGGATACCCCATGATGAGCCAGATCACCAGGTTGGAGCACAGTGTGTCCATGACCGTCTGCGAGATGCGCTTGCTCTGCATCAGGATGTAGTACGGGTAGTGCACGTTGATCACGGTCGACTCGATGAGGAGCGCGATGATGACGGCAAAAACAGCGATCGACTCGTAGAACTCGTTGAAGCTCGACTGGATGTTGCGCAGGCGGAAGATGAGGACGCCCACGCCAAGCCACAGCGCCCACTGGAGCCCAACGGCCGAGATGCAGAACCCTGGCGTGGCGTTGCAGACCTGCATCTCCGAGTAGTACCCCGCCGTGAGGTCGTCGCTGATCAGCTGGGTGACCAGCGAGTATGTGCCGTTGAGGACAATCACAATGCCAAACGCCAGGATGCTGTTGAACGTCGTGAACGGCTTCTTCCGGTTGAAGACGTGGTCCAGCGCGTAGAACCGCACAATGGCCATGGACGCAAACACAAAGCAAAACAGCATGCGGAACCACACGATCCACATCTTGCACAGCTTCCACGCGCCGACAATGTTGACCATGCCGTTCGCCGGGAGGTTGCCGATGAACCACAGCAGGACCGACACGTACATGAGCGTGACCCACGTCAGGTTTTTTGCGCGGATGGGCCGGTACCGATAGTTGCACCACGCGTACGCGAGCATGATGGCGGTCACCCCGTTGATTACACCGCACACGACGATGGCGGCAGTGTCTGTGCCGTTTGGAAGGATCACATTGACGCCCGTCAGCGCGCTCAGGAACTACATGTCACAGGGTACTCGCTGCACACCATTAGCTGCAGGGGATCCGCCGCGCAGGGCACCCGCCACAGCGCCCAGACGCATTTTTGGGGGAGGGAGGCGCTGAAGAAGCGCCCCAACGTACGCTTTCCCGGCTGGCCCGGTCGGTCCCTACGGGCGCGCCCGTGGTCGACCCGCCGAGGCTCATTGCGCAAAGTGGAGGGGAGGAAAGGCAGGGTGCGAGCTGGTCCGCGACGGGGGCAGGTCTGGCAGCTTTAGCGGTCGACGCTCCGGGGCCCCGGGAGGAGGGGCAACGCAACTTTACGTGGGCTCTGCCCACAAAGCACACGGGCAAGCGCACAAAGCGGAACTCGGGGGGTGGCCGTGCCTTTGTGGAGGCCCAGGAAACAGGCTTTCGACGCTGTGCAGCCCCGCCTGCGCAATCATTGCGCATGGATTGGCTGCGGAGTAACGAGGGCGCCGGGCGGCAGGTCGATCCCGCCCAAGGATAGCACCACTTGCTGTCCGTGGCTGGGCAGATCCGCCGAAAAGCAGGCGGGACAAAATGCCGATGGGTCCGTCTTTGGCTCACGTGGGGTCGCGGGACCCATGACCCCCGCCCGCCGCTGGCTGCGTCGGGGCGGGCGGGCCGGGCGCCCGGGCGCTGGCCCGGGACCGGATCGCCCCGCCCCCCTCTCTCTCACTCGCCGCCGCCGACCGGGCCAGCATGGGCGCCAGTACCAGCGACGACGTGTGGGATCTCGACCAGGACGATCTGGGAAGCGAGCGCGCCGTCGCCGCGCAGACGCAGGCACAGCTCGAGCGCGTGCTCTCAAACGCGGGGTACCGGAGCGGCGTCGACGCCGCAAAGGGGGATTTTCTGCAGGAGGGCTTTGACGAGGCCTTTGCGCCCGCCCTCGAGCACGGCCGCACGCTGGGCGCGCTGCTGGGCGCGCTGGTCGCGCACCGCATGCTGTGCCGGAAGCTCGGCGTCGCCCCCTGCGTCGCGGGCCTGGACGACCTCATTGCGCGCCTGCGCGCATTCAGCCACGACGCGGCGTTTGACCTGGACGCCATTAGGCGCATGGCCCCGGATCCGACCACCGACGCGTTCAGGGCGCTCGCCGATGAGGCATTCCGCGCCGTCGATGCGCTAGAGTCCCAGTAGGAACCAGGCCGCGCAAAAGCCAAAACGCCCTTCACTTGCAATGGAAGAGCAGTGGATGACAAAGCAAGAGCTGATCAATAAGGGCGTCTAGGGCTTCTTTGCCTGGTAGCGCACGGGGGGAGCCGGAGCCGGGGACGACGGGGCCGGAGCCGGGGACGATGGAGCGGGCGCCGGCATCGACGGGGCCGGAGCCGGAGTCGAAGGAGCGGGCGCCGGGGTCGACGGGGCCGGAGCTGGCATCGACGGGGCCGGAGCTGGCATCGACGGGGCCGGAGCCGGGGTCGACGGGGCCGGAGCCGGGGACGACGGAGCAGGCGCCGGCATTGACGGAGCGGGCGCCGGGCTTGACGGAGCGGGCGCCGGCATCGACGGGGCCGGAGCTGGCATTGACGAGGCAGGCGGTTGGGCGCCGCCGTAGACCGGCTTGCTCTTTGCGGCAGAGGTCGGGGCCGAGCTGCTCTCCCCGCAGGCGCCGCCGCCACCACCGCCAATGGCGACATCGGGGCACGCCGAGACGTTGAGCTCGACGTTGCCCAGAAGTGCCGGCAGCAGCGCACGCTTGGCCGCGCCCTCGCCGGCGGGCGCGCCGACAATCATTGTGGCCGACGCAAGCGCGAGGGCGATGAGCTTGGAGATGCTGGGCATGCTGCGTATGTGTGACGGGTGTGGAGCTGTGGTGGTGGAGGGGGTGTAGTACCGGCCGAATGCGTCCAGGCCCAGGCGGCCGTCTTTATCATTCCGGCCCGCCGCTCCAGCAGCGGGGCCAGAGAATGCGCGGCCGCCCTCGGCATATTTCTCCGGGAAACGCCCTCTTTGCCTTTGAAAACGTTGCGGAACTGGTCTCCAGTCCATGCACACAACACATGGGACGCCAAACGTTTTTCGACGGCCACGGCCGCTTTTTTTATTAAGAGGGCGATACTGCTGGCGACTTAGGCGGGAAACGTGCCGGGTGGAAAGGAAAACGTCTCTGCCGTGGAGAACCACTCCCACTGCACGCCAGCCTGTTGCAGCAGTGTTTGCGGCGGCAGCGGCTTTGGCTGTGGCTGCAGCGCCAAGGGCGGGAGCGAAAAGGGCTGTGCCTGGTACCACTCGGCGTTTTCCAGCGCCGGCACGGGTGGTGCTGCCGGCAGACCGTTCACCACGATGGCCGTGCTCTCTGGCGCCAGTGCGACATATGCGCACTTTGTCGGGACCCCGGGCGCGGGCGGCCAGCTCTCTGCCACTAGCGGTTCTTGGTTTGTCGGCGCTGGCAAGAGCTCCGAGAGCGGGGCCAGCCTGTATGACGGCAGCAGTGACGGTTCTTGGCTCTGCGTATCAGTTGGTGTGGGCGTGTCAGTCGTCTGCTCGCTCAGAGTCGAGGCCTCGTCGGGCGGGACGTAGTTGGGGCACGCCGGGTTGCTGGACTGCACCTTGGGCTCGCCCCCTACGCCAAGCACGATCTCTGGGCATGCGCTGATCTGTATGTTGAGGCCCCCGAGCAGCTTGCCCAGAAGCGATCCCTGTGCAGTCAGCGCCAGCGCCAGCGCCAGCGCAACAACGGGTACCGGCGTAGCGTGCTTCATTGTGGTGCGGGGGGAGTGTGTTTGTTTGTCGGTCCCGGATCTGTCTCGCCCAGCCACAGCCGAGCGCCTTTATACGCAGCGCGAGAGAAGCTGCTGTACGCCTGCAAACAACAACGCCAACGTTGGGGGCTGCCGCCACTACAAACAAAGGCGGAATATGTCTACTGCCATTTTGCTCTAGCAAACTTGCGTAACCAGAACGTTTGAAGCCGCCTCCGCAGTAGCCCCTCTTTTGATAACCCATACGACGCCCCATTGCGTCGGGCTCCGCTGCGCTGGGTTGATAGGGGTGCTTTCTGGCAGGTGGGCTGGTCGGCTTGTATGTGTTTGTTTTTTTTTTGCTCTCCAGCCAGCAGTAAAGCGAGCGGGCGCCGCACGCTTGCCAATGCCCCCCGCTGCTCGCCGATCTGCGCGCCGGCGCACGGCTGTCCCCGAGCGTGGCAGCCCCAGCGCGCCGGCAGCAGGACAGCAGTACTGGCTGATGAAGGCCGAGCCAGAGTCGCGGATCGTCAAGGGCGTCGATGTCAAGTTTAGCATTGACGACCTGCGCGAGATGGAAGGCGCAACCTCACACTGGGACGGCGTGCGGAACTATGAAGCGCGCAACATCCTGCGCGACAAAATGCAGGTCGGCGACCAAGTCCTCTTTTACCACTCGAACTGCAAGGCTCCGGGCATTGCCGGCCTGGCCACCGTGGTGCGCAGCGGGTACCCAGACCACACGGCATTTGACCCTGCGCACCCGTACTTTGACCCAAAGTCCGACTGCGCCTCGCCAAAGTGGTTCATGGTGGACGTCCGATTCGTGCGCAAGTTTCCGCGCGTCATCTCGCTTGCCGAGCTAAAGCAGCACGACCAGCTGCGGGACATGGCGCTGGTCAAGCGCGGGCGCCTATCGGTGCAGCCGGTGCGCAAGGCAGAGTACGACTTTATTCTTTCTCTGGCCGGCGAGCAGTGACCCAGGATCTACTAGCATTGCTAGCCCGGCCGCCTTTGAGGGCGTCCAGCCTCCGCCGAGCCAGACAAGGGAAAGGAAAAAAACGGTACAAGTCCCGTGGCATGGCGCGTAAAGGCTCCCATACACTGCTTGTCATACTGCAAGCCGCCCTTGATTCGACGGCACAGAAAATCCGCCCTCTGAATGACCCCCGTCGCAGACAGTTTGGCCGAGCGGTTAAGGCGGCAGACTCGAAATCTGCTGGGCGTTGCCCGCACAGGTTCGAATCCTGTAGCTGTCGGACTCCTTTTTGTCTCTCCCCGCATTGCCTATGCTAGCCACCGTCACAAGCCAACCAGCGCAGGCGGTTGGTTTGTCTTTTTTGTGGAGTGTGTAAGCCAGCTTTTGCAGACAAGAAAAAGGACCAGTGCTCTGAGCTGGGGCGAGGTGGGTCCGATGCCCAAGAGCTTGTCTGCGCTGTCAAGGAAAGAGAGGGAAAACGGTTACGCTAGAGCAGGTCCGGGGGCAGGCGCCTGCAGTCAGCGTCCTGTGCTTCAGTGTCGGCATGGCGTCCGTAGTTGTGAAAAGGGGCACCCGATCCAGTTCTTTGCACCAGATTCATGGTACCACTATGAATCACTATCTTGGGCGTCGCTGACAGACCCCAAATCGCTACCAGATACATCGTCTGTGTAGCTAGAGTTGAGTATACTTCCCGGTACTGTATACCCCATGTGCTTATTGCGCACCCACACAACCATGCCTCCTCCGACCGACAAGATTACCGCTTGAGCGGCGTCTTTTATGTCCTCAATAGCATTGGAGTCTATGGCATATCCACGGATACGAATGCCAGTATTGGTTGTAATATAGACACCCTTTTTTGCTGACATTGACCCCCTGGTTGTGTGATCTTTAAGTTTATTGCGGAACAAGTTCTTGTATGTTTTTTTGCCTGCATGTGTTATTTTTGTTGCGGGGGGGCCCGGGGCCGGTTACCCACCCCCGCGACCGGGGGATGGCCAATCGGCGCCGGAGCACGGCGCACGGGCTGCACGCACGTACATGCACGCGCAGCCAAGCCCATCGCCACAAAGGCTTGCCCCGCCGCCCGCAGCGCGCCGCTCCCCCGACAGAGGGACCTGAACGCCCCAGCACACCAAGCAGGGACACAGGGCCTTGCCGCCGCTGCCGCCTACATATACGGCGCCCCCGCCGGCGAGCTCAGGACAGTGCCCTTTACGAGAACATCCCCTTTTCCCTTTGTCTCTCTGAAACAGCTCGATCACGCTGCTTCCTCGTGCGGCCACACCTCGTCGCAGTCCCCCCCCGCGCGCCGCAGCACCCCGGCGGCCCGCAACATTTTGAACTTTGCACACACAGACCACCAACGCATACCGCCTTTAGTATTTGTGGAAGGGCATTTATCCTCTTCAACCCTGTAAAAAAGCGTGATTTTTGCTTCCCATGTACCTCCCGTAGCTGTACTTTCACTTGATGAGTAATTTTCATTCATGGGCGGTCGCGGGTAGATCGACTTTTTTGCGTTTTCACGGCGCATCTGACGGCTCCGTTTAATTCTCGCTTTCTGCTTCATTGTGAGCCTCGATAAACTGCTTGGCATGCTCCGGTCCGTTTCATTTCCAGACGCAAGTGTACTCTGGCCCGTCTCACTTGCGGTTAGGAGTGCAGCTTGGTCCACCCCAACCCTGACTGCCAATAAGCCCTGGACAGCCTCACTTTCATGTTCTGATAAGCTTCTGATTGACGATGCGTAGCTCATGTCGTTTTCGGCGTCCGACTCCATTGCTGCTTGGTTGCGGGAAAGCACGGCTGGCGTCTGGCTGCAGGTGGGTGACGTGAAAAGCAGGGTGCGGCTGTGTCTGAAGAACAGAGAAAGTGGGTGGTGGGCGGTGGGCGGCGCAAGCGCTTATGTACCGGGCAGGGACGGGGCGTACGCAGGGCGCTCCTAGTCAAATAGAGAGGGCGTGGCACTGGACCATGCGTAGACTGGATGGCTTGGCACCCTGCCACGGGGTGCAGGCGCCGGCCTACCCGAGCCACTTTGTATCAGCACTTGACGGTGCCCTCTGCCAGTCAAAGGAGTGCCCCTGAGCCGCCCTGAGCCAACTGACCAGCCCCTTTGTCCACAGAGGTCCGGCGCCAGCTGTGTCCGTAAATCTGCCAGAAACGGCAGCGGTGTGAAAGAAAACTGGCCGAGGTGCAAGGCTTGCAAGAAAGCCTGCCTTTTCTCGGGGGAGGCTTGATTGGAGACGACTGGTCTGGTCTGGTTTTGTGGAAAAAATTTTTGTACTGTTCCTGGTGTGTGTTTTAATGAAATCTGTCTGCGGCACTCCTCTTTCTACTTTTTTGCACACTGTAGCTCGCTGGTTCGGTCTCGAGGCCTGCGAGCTCCCTGATCTGACCATCCAGCCAGCGGGGACCCTTGGTCCCCGCTTCCTAGTATTCTCTAGTGGTTCTTCCTATCCTTTGCTTTCACTTTCACAGCCCAGAGTCGGTTAACAGGGGTAGGAAGGAAGGGCCCCGGCAGCTGTCCAAACTGCAGAACTACACACACGCACCCGCTAGCCCCGCGCCCAAGCGTCCAAATCGATAACACTCCACAAAAAAGACAAGCCAACCACCTGCGCTGGTTGGCTTGTGACGGTGGCTAGCATAGGCAATGCGGGGAGAGACAA